GGTGGGAGGAGTGGGGGTCCCAGTGGCCTTGCAGCGCGGGGGACCGGCCATCGGCCTGCGCCTCCTGCACCGCCGCCAGGAGCTGCTCGCAGCCCCAAGCACCCTTATTCCACACAGTGTCCAGGAGGCACCTGGCCAAGTGGGAGAGGGGCTGGCCCAGGACGTGCAGGCCTTCATATTCCTCCCAGGACAGCACGTCCCAGGAGAGCAGCCAGTCCAGGACGCTCTCGAAGGCCTCCAGGGACCCCGAGCCCAGCAGCCCCACCAGCCGGCTCCTCTGGGCTTGGAAAGCTTCCTGCGTGCACATGTCATGGCCTGTGGAGGAGAGGCGGTCAGCAGGCAGGCGTGCGGGGCAGGGGCAGGGGAGGGGCCGGCCAGCCCACCCGAGGCCAAGCCTGCCATGGTTCTGCCCTCAGACATTCCCCAATCCGGTTCCCCATTGCACAGATGCACAAACTGAGGCCCAGCGAAGGCAAGAAAGGACCCGCAGAGGATTTGAAGTGGGTGGGAGTTCAGTCAAGCTCCCCTATCCATGCTTCATCTGAGCCAATAGGAAGAGCAATGGCCCCCAAGGGATCCAGAAATTAATTCTCTCTGAGGCGGCGACAGAGGGCTCCTCCATGCCGGCTGGGTTCTGGCCACAGCAGCTCCCCCTTCAATAACGGTTGACGTTCATTAAGCACCTACTATGCACCAGGAACCATTGTAGGTAGTTTCCTGCGGGAATTCATTTACCCCTTCCGTCCGCTCTGAAGTCGATGCTGTGGTCAGCCCCATTTGACAGATGGCAAAACTAAGGCACAGAGAGGCTGGGTGGCCTGCCCAAGAGTTCCAGAAGCATGCCTTTAATTCCCTTAGAGTTGGGGTCCCCCCGACCACCCCACACCTGTGCAGAGAACCCTCTGCTCCCCCAAGAGGCAGAGCCAGAACACTGCTGTAAAGAGCCAAAACTCAGCGAAGCAAAAGTCACGGTGCAGACTAAGTGGTGTCAAAGCTCATGGGTGCACTGATCCCTCCCCACCTGCCCCGGGGCCTCGCCGCCCTCAGCACCGAGCATTGTGTGCCCGTCACCTCTCTGTCCACGGCTTGCTCTGGGCTCAGAGCAAGATGGTCATGAATCAAAATCCCACACAGGGAGAGGCAAACCTGGGACCGTCTGTGCCCGCCGGCACACGCCCGCCACGGTGAGGGGACGGAGCAGCCTCCAACCAGAAGCCTGTGCCCGCGGGGTGAGGAGACGCAGGCACATGAGAGAGGCAACTGATCCATGTGTCTCTCACATTGCTGTCTCTCTTTCTCTCCCTCTGACCCCATCCCTTTCACTCTCTAAAAAAGTCAATGGAAAAATATTTTAAAAAAGCTGAACAGGTGTGGGCAGAGGCAGGGCCCAGCAGCTCAGGCCGGCCGCGAGCAGGAACAGCCCAGCCAGGTGACACAGGACCGGCAGGTCTCGAGCGGCCGGGGGAAACCCCAAACGGATGGGCCGGAAGCCAGTGTCGGCCAGCCAGTTGGCCAGAACGAGGTGGTGCTGGGCAGTCCTGGCAGAAAGCCTTGTGCAGCCACGTGACCCGCACCAACAAACCCCAGGGCACCCGAGACACACCCACGGGCGTGCTCACCCGCCAGGGGACAGACAGGCAGGGCCCTTCCTGAACACAGAGTCTGGGGCAGCTGATGGATGCCCGAGCCACACGCGCCCAACTAGCGATGCCAGGGCCCTGTGCATACGAGGGGGGGTGGGCGGGCAAGGCCATCGCATTTGTCACTCTGCCCTCCTACCAGCCGCTGGGAAGTCCCATCTCCGCCCAGGCCCTGTTCCAGAAACATCCGAGCAGGGAGATTCCCCAAGGACCAATTTGTCCAGTGCCCCGTCTGCAAGCAGGCACTGCTGTTTCGTCTCAAACATCCAGGAGGGAGGACCTGGCCTTGTTACTGTCCTCACTGAGCAGCTCAGAAAGTTCCTTGTTATGTCTAGCTTAAGCTTCTCCTGCTCCACTGTCATTTGGGAGACAATAATAAAACACACACACACACACACACCAGATCTCCACTCATCACCTATTTGATAAAAACTGTCCCTAAAATCCTGCCTCCTGCCTTTTTATCACCTGCTCAGGCTTCCCCTCTTCAGGCTAAATACAGCTGTGCGTCACCATTGCCTTTTCTTCTCCGATTCAGTTCCTACCCCTTTGGAGTTGTCATAGTTTTTCCTCGAGGAAGGTGAGGCCCATCCATCCAGAGAAAAGGGGCAGGCCCTCCCTAGTCCCCAAACCCAGGCCCAGGCCCTGCGTCTCCCTCCTTCCTGAGACCAGAGCCAGCCTGGGTCCCCGGGGCCTCGGGCAGCTGATCTGCTTCAGTGATGAAATCCCAGCCGCTGGGCCCTCAGGAACAGGAGAGGGCGGCTGTCCTGGACCTCAGCTGGGGCCCCGCCTCCCTCCCTCCTGCAGCCACCTCCCCGCCTGGTCCCCTTCACCCCCTTCTCTCTTTTGGGTCCAGTCCTATCTCTCGGGCCCTTTCACAGCAGGACCCCTTGTCTGCTGTCCTGACTGACCACTCCAGCCCTTTCAATCGGGTCTCCCCTACCCCCCAAAATGCTTTTGTCCTGGCCACCCCTGATCTCAGAGTGAGCCCCGCGTTGCTTGGTCCTCAGCCCTCACTCATCCCGCTCAATCGGCCAAAGGTATGTGTCCTCATGGCTTCCCCCCTCCCCCTGGAAGCCCATGCCTCATGGCCTCCACAGCGCCCCAACGCTCTGAATTTCCTCCCTGGACGCTCTTTCTGCCTCCTTGGCCGGGTCCTATGCGGGGAGCCCCCGAGCTCCCTGGTGGGACCTCTTCCCCTCCTCCCCACCCCCCCACCCCCATCACTCTCTCCCTAAGGGGCCTCCACTGCTCTCGCTGCTTTAAACGCCAGCAGCAGCGAGGATCGTCTGGGCACTCACCACTCACAGGCAGGCGTGGAACAGACGGGAAAACTGCAAGGAGCCCCCGCTGGGACCTGAAGCCTGGCCTCCTCATGCCCAGGGCGCCGGAGCTTCAGGACTTCGCATCTCAGGGGCTCCCCGCAGCCCACACACACACACAGACCCCGCCCCCAGATCACCGCCTCTCTCTGGATCTCAAAGGCTCTCAGGGCCCAGAAGTTCCACCCGTGTCCCCAAGCCCCCTCTTCTCATGGAGTCACAGCCTGCCAGGGGGCTCCCCAACCTCCAGATGCCCCCTTTCCAGCTACCTACCTTCCATTCAGATCCCGGGACCCCCCCAGGGAAATCGAGGCAGCCCTTCCTCAGCCCCGCGGCGGCCAGAAGGGCTCAGGAGCCGGTGTCTGAGTCCTGCGGGCGA